TAAATTATCACTATTCGAATCAGCTTATTAAGACAAATCTAAAGATAGTGAAATCATCTAAATCTAATTACAAGAAACCAAGATATTATTAAATATAATTTGATTAAATGATCTAAATATAGATCATATATATTACAATCTGATTGGCTGATGATTTGCTACACAAAATATTTATATATATTATATCTATTTCTATTATTTTTATAGTATATTTATTAGAGATAATTTATACATCTCATATGCAATGTTGTCGCCCCATAAGATCAGGTGTAATATAAATCAAAACAACTAAAATAAACCGAATTATTTCATATACAGTTGTCCTCCCCTATAATCACACTGTTGGGTACATACCAACTAGGTGATTATAAAGAGATGTGACTTTATAAAGGTTACCTCTATATAAGCATACATTATATTAAAAATAATTAATGTGATTTAGTAGAGGTAAATATTATAACATTATAGTTTTTTTATTTTTTGTATACAGAGTGCTTCTGAAGTTCAAATTATATAATATATACTATTGTAGCAGCAGTGCTCAGCATTTAGTTATCTATAACAAACTTTGGGGCAATGCTTATATCATGTAATACAAACTTTGGAAACTAATTTAGCACAACTAGAGTTTGGAACCAGATTTATTTTCATATCAATATATGAAAAAATAAAAGCAATTGTTGCATGATCACATCTTATACAGTAAGTAAAAATATATGTATACATTGTATCTAATTTAGAAAGCTAAAATCAATTGTTAAACTATAAAGACACTTGACCAAGGTGTGAGAACATTTAGTCCAAGGTTTGTATATCATGTGGTTATGTGAATTTATAAAAACTATTTGATTAATATAATTCTTATCTCTTATATACTTGTATTCATTTAAATATTAACTATGCTAATTATTTCTTGTTTCTTAGATGTATGTTTCAACTAGTGATATTACCCAAACCATTTGGGATGTTCCAAACCATATGTTGAATAGTATCACATGGTTTCGGCAATAACAGTAATATTATTCATAACATAGTTTGGAACGTCCCAAATAGTTTGGGCAATATCGCTAGTTTCAACAAAGGCTCTTCACTTGATCATGAATATTAGAATATGTTACTTCAAGATTCTAATCATACTGAGACAGTTCATTTAAGTGATACTAATAAAATTATATATCTCTGGCCATAATACTGTCCATAAAAACAACAGGAGGAAACGATAATGTTATACAAATGATTTTACATATGGTGTGAAACACAAAAAAATTATTTTACAATACTTACAATACTTGATCAGTCTTGATAAGTCTACTAGTACCATGTTATGATTATAATCCAACACCATTTTTTATTATAATAAAATGGTGTTGGATTATAATCATAACATGGTACTAGTGAACTGATCAAGACTGATCAAGTATTATAAAATAATTTTTTTATATGTTTCACACTGTGTGTAAAATCATTTGTGTAATATTATCATTTTCTCCTTTTCATAAAAGCTATCTGTAGGTTTTCAACACGTAGATCTCAATGACGACACAACCACTATTTCTAATCAGACTTTTCTTACTTGAATTTACTGTAGTACTTTACCCTCTCTCAGTTATAATGATTTAATAACCACAAAAGACTTATTTTATTTGTTCAATTGCTTTATTAGGCTAATACAAATTTGCTTTTTAATATTGATGCCAAAATTGAACAACTTTATAATCAGAATATTTACCAAAAGCATTTTAACACACTGAATACTTTTGATTCTTGAAAATTTTTTTCTTAATAGTTATATTGAGGACCATATATCTAATTATCATGCAAGTTACTACAATTTTTCTCTTAATGTTAATGAGAATAACTAAAATATTGATAAAATATATACATACTATAAAATGTATGTATAAAAGACAAAAAAAAAACCCCCTATCACAACGCGATATTATAATCTTTCTCATTATTTAATGATGTAAAAAAATCATTAATAGATGTTTGGCGCTTAGACGCAACATATTTTTTGTTTATCAAAGCTAAGTATTTTCAAAAAATTTTAAGGTCTTTGGCTTTAAATTCTTCATCAATTTGTTGTTCAAAGAAGCCAATAAATTTATTTAAACCTATTAACTCTTCTGAAATAGGAATTTCCAGTTGTTCTTTGTCTGAGTCATCAGGATCTTTATTATCACGTTGATTTGCTTCATCTAAAACAATTTTAATAATCTCCGAATCCTCAAGCTTTTCTTCAGTTATGATATGCAAATCATTAAGGCCTAAATATGTATTTAATTAGCTTTCTATTTCTGGGTCCAGGCCCTGAGAGGTCAAATCTATTACCAATTCGTTGACATCTTCTTCTTGCTGTTCTAACAGCACATTGGTAGCGACTTCTATTTCTTCACAGGGAACTGATGCAAAATTCTAGTCTTCATCCAACAATTAACGATTACTGTATCTTCAACAGCATCCCAAGACTCAGATACGTAGTAAATAGCATCCTTAATAGTTAATTTTTTTCTAATTAAAATTGAAATATAATTAGTATTAAAATTATTATATAATTAAAGGATAATATAGGTAAAATTTAAAAATACACTGTAAGTTTAATGGCACGATCGAATGCCACTCAACTGTTATTCGAACTACCATTTAACACTATTACATGATTTTACTAACATGCATGTAGGGTTTTTAAAATACTTGATACTGTATTATACAATTGGTATAATACCCGTATAATACCAGTATTATACACAGAGAGTATAGGTATAATACCATAATTAAAAACAATTTAGCCAATCAAATTGTTTTATTTGAAGACACGAAGATTTCTGATTTAAACAAGCTAATTTTTTGAAATATCTGAAAGATTCTGAACTATATTAAACTATATAGAAGTTATACCATATTATATAGTATTATACGGTATTATACCTGATATTATACTACCATTTCTATTATACCGGTATAATAAAAACCCTACTTACATGTCCATGAAATCATGTGATAGTGTTGAATAGTAGTTTGGATAGCAGTGTGAGTAGCATTCGAATCATGTCATTCAACACAGTGAATTTTTAAATTTTACCAAGGTAAGTGCTTAACTTTTTTAAATCTTCATTGTTTCCAAGCTGCATTAGTATGTGACAAATATATTTTTGCTTATATTTGGATTTAAAACTTTTGATAATACCCACGTCCATGAGTTGAAGATGAGCAGTGGTATTTAGGGTAAAAATTCAAGTTTAATATTAGTTAATTGTATATTTGAATAATCAGAAATATTACAAAGTTGACCATAACCACTACTATAATGGCCCTTACTCCCACCAGTACTATGTTTATCATGTTTATCACGATTATTATGATTACTATAACTAGTAATTGTACCCTGATTGGCTCTGGTTAATCTTGGTCAACCTCAACCTCAACGATTTCTACACAAAACAGCTGTTATCTCAGGTTCTGAATTATTAGATGTTTCTTCATCTAAATCGAAATTTGATTCAATTGGTTCATTTAATTCACAAGTATTAGATTGGTCATGAAAATGCGATGAGGTATTATCTACTATTAACAAGACTTGGCAATTCTGAATGCAAAACCTCTGATCCAAATTTTTTAACCATTCAGAAAATATGTCATTTCACATCCATGCCTGCGAATTTGCACAGTAAAGAACAGGTAATGAATCATAATTAACATTATGAAGCACACAAGGGAAATTGAAGACCCAATCACTAATGGTTTTAATTTTTCTGTTCTACTTGCATTGCATGCTAATATAATAGTAATCCGTAAACGATCCTAATTATCATACAAAAATTAATTGTTTAAAATATGTTAAATGGTTATATCTAATTCTCCTGGTGGTCACTTCACTAACAAGCTATTTATCTGATATCACACAAGGTAATAATTTACCAATAATATATACCTGCACCTAAAATATTAATTTAACCCAATTGATGTCAGATAAATGATTTGTCAGCAAAGTGCCTATCAGGAAAATGAGCAATAACAATAAATATTTTAAAACTATATAACTTAGCAATTATTATTTTTAATATCATTTAAATTTCCTTAATGAGACAATTTGGATAACATTAAAATTTTATGTATTTAATTAATTTGCTTTTTAGAATATTTTTATTAAAGTAAATATTCAAAAAATATAATTTACAGATTTTTACAGATTGTTACTCATTTAGATCATTGAATACTAATTATTTGGATAGAGTTGGACAGGTCCAGTCTGGTCAGTCCTGGTTCTAATATAATTGATCAATTAGTAATATTTGGTTTGGTCTAGTCTAGCTGATGTATTGCAAGCCTCATTAAGATTTCTGCCTTATAATAAAATATCGGCAATTTGATGATACTTTTTTATAAAAAGAAAAAAAACAAATAAAAGAAAGGAGTAAAAGAAAAACAAATACATATACAAAAATAGGTACTAATATAAAAGTAGTCTAAAAATTAAAATCTATAAGAACTGTAATTAATTTTATCATGTATACAGCAAATTCAAAAAAAAAAAAAAACTATAAAAAACTATTACTAAAAAAATAATCTACTAATCAAATAAAAACTTCTAACTATACAAAGTAACAAACTACTTATATTAAAATATTATGAAAAACTTAATATAAAAAAAATAAAATATACTATAACTCATACCAGAGTCTAAAATTATATACAAATAATTACAGAATATTTGTATCTCTTTTTATTTTGCTTGACTCTTTCTATTAAATCTATATCTTTATTTAAAAGTATAAAAATTTTAAAAACTTCACATAATTTTTGCCTGCTTCAAGCTTGATTAACCTTAAATCTGTCTTTTCTAATAGCTGTATATATTTATATATTCACAATAATATGATACATAAAATACTTTATTAAAGTATCCAATTAGCTACTAAATTTTATTAGAATTATCTATTTTATATATTTTGATTTGTCATTATATAGTTTTTTTGATATAAAAATGATAAACAATATTGATCTTTTGAATAAGGTTTACCAAAGTCCTTACTTTTTCAAAAATTATAGCCAAAAGTATCAAAAAGAAAAAATTCTTGCATTTGAGAGTATTCAAAACAAAGAGTGTGTTTTCAGTTGTTATTTATAGTTCTAAAAGCTTTTAATACTTGAGCTAGAAGTTTTTTATCACTACTATTATTAGAATAAACTTTCTAGCTTAAATGTTAAATATATGAAGAGAAGTTCATTAAAAAGAGAAGCTTGATTCTAAGTATAAATCAGCTTATATATGCCTGTTCCTCTGTATTTCATATATAAAGTCTTTGTTAACAACAGTATTCAGAGAGATCTACAAATATTTTAAGATTTTTAGATTTTGAATTTTTAATTTGCTTTTGATACAATACTAATTTTTAAAATACAATAACTATTAGATTAATAATACTAATATAATTTAGTAAAATTAGAATGTTGCAATTTAGTAAAATAGTTAAGTTATTATATCCCCAAGTGGTATGTTGGCAGGTTGAATATTTGAAATTTACTAATACCAAAATTTTAAATATTCTGCTTGTATAACAGCTACTGTTTTTCAATAATTAGTTAGATTAGGAGCTTTAGAATAGAACTTTGGTAGCACCAACAAGATAGGAAAATTATGAATATTTATGCAATGCATAAGTTATATAAAGGTATACAAGCTGATATTAAGCAGTGCAAATCTAAAATAAATTCTTATAATTATATTAATTTAAGAAACTGAAAAAACTTGCTTGGCAAGATCTAAGTAGAAAGATAGCACAAATTTTCAATAGTAGTAACTAGAATAGATTTCATCTAAGGTTAGTTAACTAGATATAACAAGAACATTTAGCAAGTTGCTTTACTAATCAGTCTGTTAGTATTGTAATATTAACGAATTTTTATTAATATCTTTTTTATATATTTTTTTAAATTTTATTATATATTTTATTAGTAAATTTATTTAGTTTATAGTATATTTTATCTATTTTTTTTTCTTCAGCAATCTTGTTTACTTTATTATAAGAACAGACTTTCATTCCAACACAGCATAAGAAATCTAAATCTATAAGTGTTCTAACCAAAATATAAACTCATCCACAGTATATCTTGCAGATGCTGTAACATCTACTTGCAGTTAGTGTGAACCATTAAACCACTGTGTTTTGCCAGATGCGACCTGCCTAGCAATACTTGGCCTCCTCCAAAGATTTGGAACTCACTCTGAACTTATTTTTCACAGATTTCTTGGCTGGCTGTTGCTCGCCCTGTCAAGATTCCTGCTCTATAATAAAATGCCACCAAACTGAGGAAGAAAAAAAGAAAAAAAAAGGATAATAGAAAATGAAAAAAAGGGGTAAAAATAAAACTAATATATCAAAGAAAACGGATACTAATACTAAAGAATATAAAAAAAAAACTAAACTAAAACCTAAAAGAAACTGAATCACTAAAAAGAAGAAAACCTGCT